CCCGCTGCCCTGGGTACTAGTGAGTCTGCTCTCTCTGGTATGGTGCCCCCTGTACTTGCTCCCCCCAGTGCTGTCCCGGCTGGTTTCGAGTCTGCTCTCTCAGGTACAGCACCCACAGAGACACCTCTCTCAGGTACCGCACCGGCTGAGGCCTGTCACACCTTCACCCTTGACTCAGGTGCTTCCCGTTGCTTCTTCCGTGACAGTACTGAGCTCACACCGCTTCCTGCACCGGTCCCAGTCTCCTTGGCTGACCCCTCTGGGGGCCCAGTCCTTGCCCAGTCCACCACTGTCCTCCCTTGTCCGGCGGTTCCGTCTGGCTCGTTGTCGGGTTTCCACCTCCCCTCGTTCTCGACGAACCTGGTGAGCAACGCTGTCCTCCAGGATCAGTGGGTTGACACCTTTACCCCTGGCGGACAGCGTGTGGCGATCTGCACGTGCTCCAGGACCGGCCGTCACCTGGCTACGTTCACCCGTCGGCCGGGGTCGAGTCTCTACACACTGACCACTGCGTCTCCCCAGGTAGCTGCTGTCGGTCAGGTGTCTGCGTCAGGTCTGGTGGCCCACGCCTGTGAGTGTCGTTCCCTGTCGCACCAGACTCTTCTCTGGCACCACCGCCTGGGTCACCCCTCCTTACCACGCCTTCGTGGCATGCACCGTCGCCTCCTTGTGTCCGGTCTTCCCAGGTCCCTCCCTCCCCTCCCTGCCTCGCCTGCGCCGCCTTGCCTTCCTTGCGTCGAGGGGCGGCAGCGCGCCGCCCCTCACTCCTCCTCGTTCCCCCCGACAGAGGCTCCTCTGGAGACCCTCCACCTGGACGTGTGGGGCCCAGCCCGCGTTCGTGGTCAGGGCGGTGAGCGGTACTTTTTGCTGGTTGTCGACGACTACTCGCGTTACACCACGGTCTTCCCCTTGCGCACCAAGGGTGAGGTCCCTGCTGTTCTGATCCCTTGGATCCGCACGGTTCGTCTCCAGCTCCGCCGCCGTTTCCGGACGGATCTTCCTGTCCTGCGTCTGCACTCTGACAGAGGTGGTGAGTTTTCCTCCGATCTCTTGAGGACCTTCTGTCAGGCGGAGGGCATCGAGCAGACCTTCACGCTTCCGGACTCCCCACAGCAGAATGGGGTTGCTGAGCGCCGCATTGGCCTGGTCATGGAGGTCGCTCGTACCTCCTTGGTCCACGCGGCGGCTCCCCATTTTCTGTGGCCGTTTGCTGTCCGGTACGCCGCGCATCAGCTCAACCTCTGGCCCCGTGTCTCCTTGCCGGAGACCTCGCCCACACTGCGTTGGACGGGGGAGGTTGGCGATGCGTCGCGCTTCCGGGTGTGGGGTGCTCGTGCCCTTGTCCGCGATACGTCCGCGGACAAGCTCTCCTCCCGCACGCTTCCCTGTGTCTTCCTTGGCTTTGTCCCTGACGCGCCGGGCTGGCAGTTTTACCACCCCACCTCGCGCCGGGTCTTCGCCTCTCAGGACGTCACCTTTGACGAGTCGGTCCCTTTTTACCGTCTCTTCCCCTACCGTACTGCCCCCCTCCCTCCCCCGCCGCTTTTCCTTGCTCCTGGTCCCCCTCCGGTAGACCCCCTTCCCCCTCAGGGTCCTGCTCCTTCAGGTGTCTCTCAGGTAGACCCTCCTCCCGTCGCTGAGCCTGTCGAGTTCACAGGTGACTCAGGTGCTGCTGCGGGTGGTGCTGCTGGGAGTGCTGAGCCTGGGGGTGCTGAGCCTGGGGGTGCTGGGTCTGGGGGTGCTGCGGCGGCAGGTGCTGGGACTGAGGGTAGCAAGCGAGCAGCAGAACATTCGATCTTATCGCGGATGCGGTAACTCCACTGAGCTCGCCTACAACCATCTGAAGAACCTGTATCAAGCAAAAAATAGTGTAAATCAGAGTTGTCTTATGGTGCGATTGACAACAGTCTAGATGCAAGCTAGCAAAAAAGTAATGGCCTATATTAGTCGCTGTCGCGGTCTACGCGACAGACTCCTTCGATGCGGCGGAGCACTATCCGAAGACGCCTTTGTCACCGTCGTCCTTGCAGGCCTCGGACCCCAATGGCGTTCCACCCGGGCCATTCTCCGGCACCACGGAAGAATTTCTGAAGCAAGCCTCTGCGCAGAACTTCATGCCGAGCAACAAGATATGGACCTGCAAGAAGAACGACACAAGAAAAGGGCATCAGTACCAGAGTTTGCTTTTCATACTAAGAGACGCCACAACAACTACCGACAACACGAGCATCAAGCACGAAGACACGTACCACCTTTCTGCCATCTCTGTCGAACATCTGGACACTTGTGCGTCAACTGCCCGAATAGTCAGCAACCAACACCACCGCGACACCTCCGACCTTCAAGCAGTCAAGTAACATTCACGCAACTGCAACCTCCAAATCAAGTGCAGTCCTCAACACCAACGCCGCAACCTGCACGAGGAACAAGAAACATCGTAAGCTGCATGACAAGAACAGACTCCTGCATCACTGGATCACCACCGACTTACTCACCATAAGAACTACTCGACGAACGCACACCTCGTCGCGAATTGCTGGAACCGAATCCGACGTACGCCGCCATTGCTCAGAACGAGCCGTCCGGTCGAGACACGTGGTTCCTGGACAGCTGCTGCGGACAACACATGTGCTCTTCAGATCGCTTTGTTCAACGGGAACAACGACTCAACCGGGAAGTCGTGATAACCGTCGCCAACAACCAGAACCTGCGCACACGACGACAAGGGGTAGTTCAGCTGCAGTCTCTAGAGACCAACGTTGTTTTACATATGTCAAAGGTCCTGATTGCAGAAGGACTCAGCTACAACTTACTCAGCGTGAGCCACCTAATGGCGAAGGGAATCCACCTTGAAGCCGACAGCACCACTCAAGAGTTCAAGCTGTACTACGGGAAGGGCAGACTCTACATCGGGAAGGCAGTCATGAAGAACAACGTCTTCGTCCTCGAAATTCGTCCATCCACCCCTTCTGTTGTGCACGGACCACCACATCTGCCAATCACAGCGCGAGTGGTTAGGTAGTTGGGTCAGGACGCGTAACAGGCAAGAGCACTGGTCAAACCGTAAACATAATTCACTTACCGGCAGGAATAGGCACTTTCGGCACAGTCTTTTGCTTGAACACGACGTACGGTGGAAGCTTGAGGCCACCCGCCCTTACTGCCAGCATGACAGTGACGTGTTCCTTCTCATATCCTGCACTACGTACGCGAACCGTACGCGCTCCCTTCATTTCTATCGTGCGCTCCGCCGGCGTCTCCAAGAAGAGCGGAGTCTGGTCCGCGTTCACGATGAGATCGAGTGGGTAGTCGTGTACAGTGCGCATCTGGCGCACAAACTCCCAAAACGCCTCCACCTTCGCCTTGCAATCTGCAAACAGTGCCACAACACGCATTAGATCAGTGTCGTGGTCATAAACACAAGCAGATTTGTGAAGATCTTACAGGCTGCCAACCTCTGCCCCATCTTCGTCTTCACCCGCCTTGCCAAGTGCCAGCGCGAGCGGAAACGCGTTGCCCAGCGGAACGAAGCGCGCCAGTTGACCGATAGCATCCGGTGCTTCATGTACTTGGAGCTCCACTGCTGGAGCATGCGGACTGAAATGGCGAGGCCCTTCGCCCGGTGTTTAAGGATATGGCGGTAGACCGCCCGTTCCATGAACGAGTACTTGCGACCCTAAACCCTAAGCCTTGCGACCGGAACCCACGAGGCGACGGCGGCTTCTAGATGCGACCTCCAGCCACTTCTCCAACTTCTTCCAGTCGCGGATCTGGCATGGCTGCACCTTCGCGAGCTTCGCCAGGGCGTGACTCCCTAGGTCGGGCTGAGAGTCTTGCAACTTCAACCAATGGAGCTTCTCCTTCACAGTGATCGCATGACGCACTTTCTTCGTCATGCGATGGCGAAGGGATGGTGTCTCACCATCCGCATTGCGCTTCACCTGTCCCTGCGGGCGCTTACTCTCCAGGAAGGTGGGGAAAGCGGCACGTGGAAGGGGAGGGCGAGGAGCTTCGGAGCTACTGCTCGGTTCATCCCTGGTAGAAGCACTACCGGGAGGAGACGGATGGGGCAAGACGGGGCGAGGCGACGTCCGTGCGCGTGCAGCAGCGGCAGACTGAGAGTTAGAAGGCCGCTGCCGCCTAACTACCGTACTGCTAGAATCGGGTGAGGAAACCATTCTAGTCTACTGCAAATGGGTGTCACTCTCCATAGCTGAAATGCCTATAAACAAAGAAGCACGAGTGCTGGACGGAGGCGCTCTCACATCCTGCCGAGCACTTTTCAATATCGTGCACTGGAACCGCTGCACAAAGAGAAGGCGAGCCCCATTTGAGGCACAGGGATGTGACCAAACCAGTCAAGACCTGAAAGGTACAGCGACAACGCAGCACCGTGTGCAATTCCGGCCTCGGCGGTTGCATGAACCCTCGCTACGCAAGGTTGGCTTTGTTTTCACCCAATCAGGTGCCACAGTTGACCATTGGAATTTGCCATGTGGCAGATTCCAGTGGGCAATCACTTTAGCATCGTATACTCAGTTTTGCGGCACTGATCAACAATCTAGAAGTGAAGTCAGACCCCTGATTTTGTTTCACATCTTTTCTGCTTCATAAGAAATATACCTTATAATAAGATGTCAGAAGAACCAGCAGGAATGGAGTGAATTGAATGAAATGTGGGTACAAGTACTAACCCTAACTTTGGGCTGTACCCCATATGGGCTACCCCACTATAGCCTACACAGAACTAACACACATATATAGTTTGACACACCTCCATAGGCAAAGTGGGGGAGACCTAGGGGTCACAAGACCAGTCAAGAAAAGCAAAGCAAGCTCAGGGTGGATCACAACGTCACCACACACTCCGAGCACAAGCAAAGGGCCACAAGGCCAGTTCACATGCAGAGGTATATAGCACAAAGCAAGTAGTACAGTGATCACAAGCTAGCAAATACAAACATGTAAGGATAGATATTTAGATCACAGTACAAGCAAGGTCAAGCAGTGAGCAAGTGAGAGAACGTAGGCACGAGGCCTAGAGCAGTACAGTGCCGCTGGTGATCACTAGGCGGAAGTGCCTTGGTGAATATATCAGCAGTGTTGGCCCGCGTGTCCACGTAAGCAAGACGAAGCTGGCCACGCTGCTGCAGCTCTCGAGCCAGGAAGTAACGAAGAGCGATGTGCTTCGTTCTGTGCTCCAGTCTGTGCTCCTGACACAAGGCGAGGGCTGCCTTGTTGTCACCGTACAGAACTGGAGGAGAATGAGGCCGCTCTCCCAAGTCAGTCAGCAGGTAGGTAAGCCAGCGTAGCTCCTGTGCAGCCATGGCTGTGGCGTAGATCTCAGCCTCACAACTGGAGCTGAGAACAGAGGAAGAGCATGTAGATTGCCAAGAGACAGAGCCGGAACCAAGGCTGAAGGTGTAACCCTGTGACGACCGCTGTGTAGCCAGGTCGTCAACCCAAGAAGCGTCAGAGTGTCCAGTGAGGACAACGTCACCCCGTCCTCCAAGCACCAGCCCCATGCATGATGTACTGCACAAGTAGCGCAGCACCCTCTTAGCAGCCTCCCAGTGCTCTCTGCGGTGTCTCCCAGGCGCAACGTAGCGAGCCAGGATGCTAAGAGGGTACGCAAGGTCAGGTCGTGTGCAGGTCATCAGGTACATGAGGCAGCCCACAAGCTCTGGGTACGGGCCACTCGGCTCTACGGACTCGTCCGAAGGTGGAGCTGAGAGCGAGTGGCCGGTAGACGGAGGAGTGGACTGTGGTGAGGAGAACTGGAAGCCGAAGCGCTGAAGGACCTGCTGCACCATGTGTGACTGAGTCAGGGTGATGGTGCGCCGTGCTCTGTCCCGGGTGATCTGCAAGCCAAGGTAGCTGCGCAGCTCACCCAGGTCTGTGCACGTGTGTTTCTACAGCTCCGACTTCACAAGAGCGAGTGCCTCAGTGTCAGCAGTGGCAAAAACCAAGTCGCCGGCGTACACGAGTATGTAGAACGGCGACCGCGAAGTGTCAGTGCGCAAAAACAGCGACGGGTCAGCAGTCGAAGGAGCAAACCCAAGAGCCACAAGTGTCGTCCTCAGTGTGTCGTGCCACTCACAAGGCGCCTGGCGGAGACCGTAGACTGGCCGCCGGAGGCTCCACTGGATACCAGGAGGGAACGACCCAGTGAAGCCAGGTGGGCGGCGCAGCCAGATCTCCTCGTGCAGGCTGCCCTGTAAGAAGGCTGTGCTGAAGTCTAGAGAGTGAAGCTCGTAGTCACGCTGAGCGGCAACGTGCAACAGCACCCGAAGAGTGGTCATCTTCAGGGTAGGGGAGAAGGTCTGGAAGAAGTCAACCCCCTGACGCTGACTGAAGCCTCGTGCAACGTAACGAGCCTTGAAGACAGGCGGAGAACCCGGCAGCCGCTTCACCCTGAAAATCCACATGCCATCGACTATGTTCGCCCCATGAGGGGGAACCTCGTCGACGTAGGTGCCTGTGGACTTCCAGGATGCCATCTCTGCGTCCATGGCTGTCTGCCACTGAGAGGAGTAGGGACCCGAGATCGCCTCTCCCTAAGAGCGCGGGGCCGGGATTTCCAGTGCAAGCAGTCATGCCACGAGATGAGTTACAGCAGCCGCAAGAGACTCAAAGTCCTCCTGCCTGTCCTCAAGGACGTCCGTTCCAAGAGCACACTCACCCCCAACGGACGGAGGACAGACAGACTCAGACTCAGACTCAGCAACAAGACTGGCGGCGTAGTCTAGACGACACGCAGCAGCAAAGTCGACAAGCTCAGCAACCAGGGCAGACGCAGCAGTAGACTCAAACAACGGGTCTGTGACGACTGTAGCGAGAAGACGCGTGACTGTGGGGCTAGCAGCACGAACACGGTCAGACTCAGGGTCAGGAAGCTCAGGAAGAGAGGACGCAGGAGGAGACGGTAGCGGGACACGCTGAGGAGCAGTGGAGGGACGAAGGGACATAATGTGAGTGCCTGGCATAGGAGGAGGACGCGGACGCGGGACACGACGAGCGGTGCGAACAGCGCGAACAGGGGAGGCAGGACGAGACGCAGGCTCACGACGCTCTGTAAGGGAGACCGGCTGCTCAGTGTAACGAGACGGGGCAGGCAGCGGCGAGCCAGGAGGAAGGGCAGTGGACGAAGGAAGACTAAGAACCTGGCGGAGCACCGACTCGGGCGGAAGCTCACATAGCTGCGGCGGCGGCTCGAAAAACGGTCGCTGCTGCACAGGGCCTCCAGCTCCAGCACCTCCAATGTCAGCACCGCCAGCTCCAGTAGCGCCAGCTCCAGCGCCTCCAGCTCCAGCGCCTCCAGCTTCAGCGCCTGCAGCTCCAGCGCCTCCACCTCCAACGCCTCCAGTGCCAGGGCCTCCGGCTCCAGCGTCTCCAGCGCCAGTGTCTCCAGCTCCAGTGCCTCCAGCGCCACCGGCTCCAGTGTCTCCAGCTCCAGCGTCTCCAGCTCTAGCGCCACCAGCCCCAGTGCCTCCAGCTCCAGCACCACCAGCGGCAGTGTCTCCAGCTCCAGTGCCTCCAGCTCTAGTGCCTCCAGCACTAGCACCTCCAGGACCAGTAGCTCCAGCCCCTCCGTTACCTCCAGCACCAGCGTCTCCAGCTCCAGTGCCTCCAGCTCCAGCAGCGCCACTCTGAAGGCGACAGCGGCGAGCGAACCACTCGCGCAGCTGCTGCGGTGAGAGAGGCTCCCGGAGTGGAGCCGCAGGACCCCTAGGCGCAGCACCCCCAGACTCAGCACCCCCAGGCTCCGCACGCTCAGACTCAGCACCCCCAGGCTCCACACTCGCAGGCTCAGCACCCCCAGGCTCCGCAGTCGCAGGCTCAGCACCCGCAGGCTCCGCACTCGCACGCTCAGCACCCCAGGCTCCGCAGTCGTAGGCTCAGCACCCCCAGGCTCCGCACGCTCAGGCTCAGCACCCCCAGGCTCTGCACGCTCAGGCTCAGCACCCCCAGACTCAGCACCTCGAGCAGCACCCCCCCCAGCAGCACCCGAGTCACCAGTGACCTCGACAGGCTCAACCAAGGGGAGTGGGTCTACCTGAGACACACCTGAAGGAGCAGGACCAGGAGTGGGGAGGGAGGGGATCTACCGGAGGGGGACCTGGAGCGAGGAAGAGCGGCGGGGGCAGGGGAGGAGCAGCGCGGTAGGGGAAGAGACTGTAAAAGGGAACCGACTCGTCAAACGTGACGTCCTGAGAGGGGAAGACACGGCGCGAGGTGGGGTGGTAAAACTGCCAGCCAGGCGCATCAGGGACAAAGCCAAGGAAAACGCCTGGAATGGCGCGAGCGGAGAGCTTGTCCGCGGTGGTATCGCGGACAAAGGCACGAGAGCCCCAGACCCGGAACCGCGACGCATCGCCAACCTTCCCCGTCCAACGCAGTGTGGGCGAGGTCTCCGGCAAGGAGACACGGGGCCAGAGGTTGAGCTAATGCGCAGCGTACCAGACCGCAAACGGCCACAGAAAATGGGGAGCAGCCGCATGGATCATGGAGGTATGAGCGACCTCCATGACTAAGCCAATGCGGCACTCAGCAACCCCATTCTGCTGCAGAGAGGCCGGAAGCATGAACGACTGGAGGATGCCCTCCCCCTGACAAAAGTCCCGCAAGAGGTCGGAGGAGAACTCACCACCTCTGTCAGAGTGCAGACGCAGGACGGGAAGGTCCGTCTGGAACCGCTCGCGGAGCTGGAGACGGACAGCGCGGATCCAAGGGATCAAAACATCAGGGACCTCACCCTTGCTACGCAAGGGGAAGACCGTGGTGTAACGCGAGTAGTCGTCAACAACCAGCAGAAAATACCGCTCGCGGCCCTGGCCCTGGACGCGGGCTGGGCCCCACACGTCTATGTCGAGAGTATGCAGGGGAGCAGTCGTCGGGGGAAACGAGGAGGAGTGAGGAGCGGCGCGCTGCCGCCCCTCGACGCAAGGAAGGCAGGGCGGGGCAGGCGAGGGTGGGAGGGAAGGCAGAGACCTGGGAAGACCAGAGACCAGGAGACTAGAGTGCATGCTACAAAGGGGTGGGGGGGGGGGTTGACCAAGGCGGTGGTGCCAAAGGAGAGTCTGGTGCGACAAGCGGCGACACTTATAGGGGGCTGCTACCGGACCTGACGGGGACACCTGAGCGGACGCAGCGACCTGAGGCGGCGCAGTAGTCAGTGTGTACAGACTCGACCCCGGCCGACGAGTGAACGTGGCCAGGTGACGGCCAGTCCAAGAGCATGTACAGATCGCCACACGCTGCCATCCAGGTGTAAAGGTATCAACCCCTGCATCCTGGAGGACTGCGTTGCTCACCAAGTTCGTCGAGAACGAGGGGAGGTGGAGACCAGACAGGGAACCGGACGGAACGGCCGGGCACGGGAGCACAGTAGAGGAGCGTGCAAGAACCGGACCCCCAGAGGGGTCAGCCAGGGTAATTGCAACAGGCCTGGTGAGTGGTGTGACTGTGGTACTGTCGCGAAAGAAGCAACGATGCAGCGTGAAGCACCTGAGTCAAGCGTGAAGGTGTGCAAGGCCTCAGCAGGCGCAGTACCAGAGAGAGCAGACTCACTAGCACCTAGAGCAGCAGACTCTATACCTGGGTCAGGTGGCATATACAAGTAACGGTCCCCATCAGCACTTACAGTCAATGCATACATGGCAGCAAGGATAGCATCAAAGTCTAGTGCAAAGATATCAACATCGCGCTTAAGCAGGTCCGCCCAACGGGGGAGCTCCACTGCGTCAGGAAACTGGGCACGCCAAGCGTCGTCAAGCTGGGAGAAACAGCGGTACTCTGTGTGAAACTTCATGCAAGTCTGACTAGCGCGGTCCCCAGTGCGAATGACATACTGGCAGCGAGCACTACCCCCAGATGCCCCACGCTAAGCGTACCACTCACGAAGCTGCTGGGGCGTGAGGGGCTCGTGCGGACGCTGCTGCTGCTGGCGCAGGCCACCACCAGCACCTCCCCGCTGAACAGCTCCACCACGTCCGCCACCACCGCCTCCACCACCGCCGGTACCACCGCTCCCACTGCCGCCACCACCTCCGCTGCCGCCACCACCGCCACCGCTCCCTCCACCGCCACCTCCACCACCACCACGCCCACCGCCGCCGCCACCACCACCACCGACACCTCCACTCCCTCCACCACCCCCACCGCCACCACCCCCACCGCCTCCGCCTCCACCACCACCACCCCCCCCCCCCCCGCTGCCACCGCTGCCGCCCTTGCCTCCCCTGCCCTTGCCGCTGCGGCGCTGGGGCAGAAGCGGCACCGACCTCCTCAGCACCAAGGAAGTCAACAGCAGCAGTAGAGGCGTGGGAGGGGGCAAGGGGGGAGGGGGCACACCCCTCAAAGAGGGGAGTACGGGGAGTGCCACGAGCAGCACCTACAGCGACCATGTTGGTCTCAGCTGCAAGAAGTTGCTTCTCGAGGTCGTCGACTGTGAGGTCGGTGGGGGGGAGGGCGAGAAAGTGGTCCCTGACTACTCGAAGAGAGTCAGGGAGTCGGGTGACTATGAAGTAGAGGGTGATGTACATCGGGGGAGGGTTCTTGGCTAAGAACTCGGCTGGGAGGGCGGCGCGGTAGCGTAGGTGACTAGCACGAAGGTGAGCGATGAGGTCCTCAGCTGTGGCGAAGGAGGATAGCTCAGGGAACAGGTAGGGTAGGATAAGGCGGCTGAGAGCAGTAGTGGCTGGGGAAGAGTAGCGAGCGATGACAGCAGCGTACAGTGCCTTAGCAGTTTTGTGCTGGCCAAAGTGAGTGCGTTCGGCTAACGGCAGGTGGTTGCGAATAGCTAGGCGAGCAGCAGCGTCACGGGTAAGCCACTGTGAGCGAGTGAGGTTGTCAGCTGTGTCTGATGGAGCGACTGAGGTGCCAGACGCGAGGTCAAAGAAGGATACGCCGTCTTTAGCATCAGTCATAAGGTACAGCTGCAGATCTTCGAGCCAGGCATCAAACTCTATCGGACGGCCCTCAGGGTCAAATGACAGAACGCTGATAGATGCCATGGCCACTCAGGCAAGAACGGCGGTGCACGGGCAGGCAAGAGGTGTGCGCGGCAGGACAGCAGAGGCAGCACGCGGGCTGCAGGAGCGGCGCGCGGAGCTGCAGAGGCAGGGCGCAGGCAGCAAGGGCAGCGCAAGGGCTGCGGGGTTGTGCGCGCGGGGCAGCAGAGGCAGCGCGCTGGGCTGCAGCTGGGCGCGCGGGGCAGCAGAGGCAGCGTGCGGGGCTGCGGGTTGGGCGCGCGGGGCAGCAGAGGCAGCGCGCGGGGCTGCGGGTGGGCGCGCGGGGCAGCAGAGGCAGCGCGCGGGGCTGCGGGTTGGGCGCGCGGGGCAGCAGAGGCAGCGCGAGGGCTGCGGGGTGGGCGCGCGGGGCAGCAGAGGCAGCTGGCGGGCAGCGCGCGGGACTGACGAGGCAGCGGGTGGGCGGCTCGCAGGCAGGGCGGCTAGGGCGTGGGGTAGCGGACGGTGGGCCCTAAAAAAAACGGATCGGTCCTACGGACCTACTGCTGTGAATACCATGTCAGAAGAACTAGCAGGAATGGAGTGAATTGACTGAAATGTGGGTACAAGTACTAACCCTAACTTTGGGTTGTACCCCATATGGGCTACCCCACTATAGCCTACACAGAACTAACACACATATATAGTTTGACATAAGACCCGGGTATTATGTAGGATTTCCCTTTCAGAAGACCCCCCCCATTTTTTCCCAGTGGTTATCATAACACCCTAGGGTGTTTTATCCGGGAGAATACGGTTTGCTCTTACCATTTTATTTCTCAGTTTCTAACACGGAGGTCCGGCAGGTACGGAGGTCCAGTACGAGTCTAGAGGTCCAGTACGAGTCTAGGGGCCCTCTCTCCCTACGCCTAGAAGAGGGCCTTCTTTCTGAGGTTGCTGCCCTTATTTCATTAACGCGAACCATAAGGCTGATCTACAGCAACAGCAATCCAAAAGGCTCACTCACACCTCCCCTTCTCTAAGCCCATAAGCAGGCCTCCTTGGTAAAGTCGCTAACCTTAATTCACGCACGGCACGTTGACTGATCTACGGTAACAGATATATCCACGCCTCACTCCTTTCCCTAAGCCCAGAAGCGAGCCTTCTTAATGAGGTCGCTGACCTTCACTAGATCCATCTTTGCTGCAATTATAAAGTCATTCTCACTCAACCCACCTGCAAGGAGGGAGAAGGGGAAGAGGTGGGGAGGGGAGCAAACACAGGCTCATCTGGTATGAGCGCTGACCTTCACTAGATCCATATTGGCTGCAATTATGAAGTCATTCTCACCCAAGCCACCTGCAGGGAGGGAGAAGAGAAAAGGGGAAGAGATGGGGAGGGGAGTGTACACATGCATAGTTGGCCTGAACGCTGACCTTCACTAGATCCGTCTTGGCTGCGATAAACAAAGTTATTCTCACCCAAGCCACCTGCAGGGAAGTAGAGAAGAGGAGGGAAAGACGTGAGGAGGAGAGTGAGGGGAGGGGCTTATCTGGTCTGAACACTGGCCTTGACTAGTTCCATCTTGGCTGGAACAATCAACTCGTTTTTACTCAAGCCACCTGCAGGGAGCGAGAGGAGAGGGAAAGAGGAGGGGAAGGCGAGGGAAAGAGGTGAGGAAAAGAGTACAAAATGGGGCTTATCTGGCCTTGACTCGGTCCATATAGGCTGCGACGATCAAGTCATTTGCACTCAAGACACCTGCAGGTAGGGAGAAGAGATAATTGGAGGGGAGAGTGCACACGGGCTTAGCATTGGCAATGCTTGAATGCGCAGGTTTTGTCTCAATCCATCCTGGCCGCAAAAATGATGGCGTTTTCGCTCAACCCTGACCACATAACCCGCATGCTCATGTACGCCTGTTGCCCTCCCTCACACTCACCCTGCCGTGCCCCCATCCGCCACACCAGTCCCTATTCAATCACCAATTGCAGGAGCATAGAGATTAACCCTGACCACGTAACCCTGCTCCATGCTCATGTCCGCCTGCTGCCCCCTCCGCACCCCCCCCTGTTGCACCATGCTTCCCCTGCACCCCTGCCATGATGACTCACTTATCGCTGGAGTGTGAAGGTCAACTCTGACCACGTAACCCTGCTCCATGCTCATGTCCGCCTGCTGCCCCCCTCCGCACTGCTCCTGCTGTGCCTCCACCACGGCCCCCATCCGCCGCATCAACTCCCCCCCGCTCTCCTCGTCCCGCACGCGCCACTCGCCTCTTAGCCGCAGCCCCGAGGGTTCAGGTACTAGCTTCCAGCCCACGACCTGGAGGAGGGGGGTTCAGGGTTCAAGGTTCAAGGTTCCGGGTTTCAGGTTTCGGGTGTGAAATTGCAAGAAAGCTGGCCACGCGCCACTCGCCCCTTAGCCACAACCCCGAGGGTTCGGGTACTAGCTTCCCGAACGACCTGGAGGGGAGGGGTTCAGGGTTCAGGGTGTGGGATTGCATGTAAATGGCCATTCTTGCCACATCAGCTCCCGCTGCTCTCCTCGTCCCGCCCCAACCGCCCCTCGCCCCTCAGTCGCAGAGCTGAGAGGCTGGAGGGTAGGATACTAGCTAGTAGCTTCCACCCAACGACCTGGCGGAGGGGGTTCAGGGTTTAGAGTGCGAGGCTCGAAGACAAGTCAGCGTTAGCACCGGCCAAATTCGACAACTTTCCTCTCTCTTCCTATATCGCTCTCCCCCTTGCCGCCACATCCCGCGCATTCCCCATAACCCACCTACCGTTTCCCCCACCTCCCCCTCCCTACCCTTCCCCTCTGCACCCCCTTCACCGCCCTACTTTCCCCTCCCCCTTCCTCCTCCCCCTTCCCCTTCCATCCCTCTCCCTTCTTCCTTGCCTTTCTCCTCCCCCGCACCGGACTCACCCGCTTGAGCAGCTCTCGGGCTCCTGGCTCCGCCAATGGCTGCGTGCCAGCTGGCAGCGGCGCGCAGTTGCGTGCGGCCAGGCCTGCCACCTCGCTGCAAGAAACGACAAAAGGGTAGAGACGAGGAGAGCAACAGTGGAGAGAAAAGAAGTGAATTATGTGCTTTTGTTCAGGGCAATGGGAATAATGCAAGAGGTGTTTCTTTTCTCTTCTTTCTTGTTTTCAAACTCTGGGTTCCCATAAAAGGTGACAAAGTGTTGGAAAGTCTGTATTTGCGTTAACCAGTGTCACAGAGATTTCGGGCTTGGGCGCCATGAAAGCTACGGGGGGGCAGAGCGAGTCGACATCGGATCCAATGAGTGATTCCCGATGACAGCAAAATGGGCTCGCAATAGATAAAAAAATAAAGAGTCGTACTCTGGTTAATTCGCACCCGCGTAATCAAAGACGTACATTCCGGAAAAACAGGTTAAGAAAATGAATTGACTGAACATGAAAGCCTGGGCAGAGAACGTGCTCACGCACACGAGAGGAGCACGGAAGGCATGGCAACCCACAACTCTCTAAAGCAACCCACACAACGTGGCCCTTTTTAAAGCACGTACGTGATTCCCGACGGCAGCAGAATGCGGTGCTCCGTGTCGGCATTTCCGAGGACCTTATCGCCGAACTGGCTCTCCAGCTCACTCGGCCGCGGGTCGCGCGCTCCGTAGTCCCCAATGTCGAACCGCTCGTCCGAAGCGCGCACAACCAATGGTTTTCGTTCCGACATTGGTCGGTTTCTTGGGTTTAACGAAGCCACGCGGAGCTGTTGGCGCTTCGACAGGATGTCTGCTTGCGGCGCGAGAGACCGTTGAAGGCCAGCGGGACTAATGGCGACGGCTGATCGCAAGGCTGCCATGATGACGATTGAAGATTCACTCTCGACGTTTAACGATCGACGGTTGACGATCGACGGAGTCAGGCAGGCAAAGAAAGCACGGAGCTTGGGAGCAGCTGACTTTTGCGAAGGGAAAAGGACTAGTGTGCGTGGAGCGGCTTTGGAAGTTGCAGTGGAAAAACTAGTGTGAGAGTGGGATCAGGCGTTGCGGTGGAAAACCTTGGTCGAAACTTAAAACCCGAGGTCAGCATGGCAAAGCGTTTTTTGTTTCTAGGGTTTTAACACTAGCTGGAAGAGTGCGAGAACTGTTTTCGTTGAGAGTACCCTGGCGAAGCAAAACACATGTTCGCCACACATGTTTTTATTCGACTAAAGGCGATTTGGCGACCAAGCTTGCGACCCATCAGATTTGGCGCTGTTGCAGCCAACAACTCATTCAGTCGCTATAGAATCCGACCATCGCACACCAGCTAGGGTTTTTTGGTGAACACAATTCAGACGACTTGAATTAGTAGGTGCAGCGCGTATATGCAAACGAAGGGAAGCGCAGGCGCAAGATGCGAGTGTGAAGCACGGAGAAAATGGGTGTGAGGAGAAGAGAAAGGGCCGCTTTGCCTACCTCGCGACCCTCGCCCGTCGCCCTTGCTTTCTCCGCCCGCCGCCCTCGCCCCGCCCGTCGCCCTCGCTGCCTCCCCGCCCGTCGCCCTCGCTTCCTCCGCCCGCCCTCCCTTCCTCCGCCCGCGCTCGCTAATCCCATCCCGTCGACCTCGCTTCCCTCGCCCATCCCCCTCGCTTCCCCCGCCCATCCCCCTCGCTTCCCCCGCCCGTCGCTCTCGCTTTCCCCGCCTACCACACTCGCCTCGCCCTTCGCCCTCGCCGCCTCCCCGCCCGTCGCCCTCGCTTCCTCCGCCCATCTACCTCGCTTTCCCCCGCCCGTCGCCCTCACTTCCCCGCCCCATCGCTCGCCCCTTCAATCGCTGCTGCTTCATTTTTGCAGAGGCCACTATCCCCCTTCTCACTCTCCGTTTTCAATCGCATCTCCCAATCCGCCCACGTCGCAACTTGCATTCCTGCCTCATGTCGTTCTCACTGCTCAGTTTCTACCGCAGTTTGCGCTCAGTCTCCCCCCCTCCTCACACCCCAGACTACACCCAAATTTCCCCCTTGATTGCGCTCGGTTTCCCTCCCTAATTGCGCTCAGTTGCCCCCCTGATTGCGCTCAGTTTCCCCCCCTGATTGCGCTCAGATTTCCCCCCTTATTGCGCTCAGTTTCCCCCCTAATTGCGCTCAGTTCCCCCCCTTGATTGCGCTCAAATTTCCCCCTCGGATTCCGTTCAGTTTCCCCCCTGATAGCGCTCAGTTTCCTTCATAAATGTCCTCCGGCATGGAATGGGATGGGCGGAAGCAGGGAACGGGATGGGGGGAAGCAGGGAACGGGATGGGGGGGAGCAGGGAAGGGGATGAGGGGAAGAAGGGAATGGGATGGGGGGAAGCAGGGAACAGGATGGGGGGAAGCAGGGAACGGGATAGGGGGAAGCAAGGAAGGGGATGGGGGGAAGCAGGGAAGGGGATGGGGGGAAGCAGGGAAGGGGATGGGGGGGAGCAGGGAATGGGATGGGCGGAAGCAGGGAATGGGATGGGCGGAAGCAGGGAATGGGATGGGCGGAAGCAGGGAACGGGATGGGGGGAAGCAGGGAAGGGGATGGGGGGAAGCAGGGAAGGGGATGGGGGGGAGCAGGGAAGGGGATGGGGGAAAGCAGGGAAGGGGATGGGGCGAAGCAGGGAAGGGGATAGGGGGAAGCAGGGAAGGGTGACAAGTGTGCGCGAACAGAAGGGAAACGGGAGGGATGGCGAGGGCGACGGGGAGAGAGGAAGACGGGGATTGCGAGGGGACGAGCGGGAGGAAGGTCGACGAGACGAAGGGAATGCTACGGGCGGAAGGGAGAGCGACGGGCGGAAGGGGGCGACGCGCGGAAGGGAGGGCGACGGGCGGAAGGGAGGGTGACGGGCGGAAGGGATGGCGACGGCGGAAGGGAGGGTGACGGGCGGAAGGGATGGCGACGGCGGAAGGGAGGGTGACGGGCGGAAGGGATGGCGACGGCGGAAGTGAGTGCGACGGGCGGAAGGGAAGGTGACGGCGGAAGGGAGGGCGACGGCGGAAGTGAGTGCGACGGGCGGAAGGGAAGGTGACGGGCGGAAGGGATGGCGACGGTGGAAGGGAGGGTGACGGGCGGAAGGGATGGCGACGGCGGAAGTGCGTGCGACGGGCGGAAGGGAAGGTGACGGCGGAAGGGAGGGCGACGGCGGAAGTGAGTGCGACGAGCGCTAGGGAGAGCGACGGGCAGTAGGGCGACGGCGGGAGGTAGTTTGATGGGCGTAAGAGGGTGCGACGGGTGCGTCGAACGTACATGTGAGGCTAGGGCCCGTTCCGTGCGCTTGATCCGTGCGCTTCGAACGTAACATGCGAGCTCCATCGACCCTGTAGATTTGGGCGTGACGGGTGACGTTTTTCTTGTTGCTGGCTAATATTATTTTCGTTGGGGGGGGAAACCGTCAGACTGCTGCAAGGTTCTAGACATCACGCCGCCATTGTCTGAAAGCGATATTACGCGCTCTTGTGGTCTAGAAAAGCGGAGCGCACTACGTGTCCTAGACTCAATATGGCTGCACGTAAGTACAACTTGGTTTTCAAGTTTACTGAGGGTGAACAGTGGACCAACTTTCGTTGACACTTCACGCGGAATACTTTTTTTTGTCGCTGGCCAATCATGCATCAGAGTTGTGAAGGAAACTCTCACTTTGGGTGGTAACCTGGTTTTTGGCGAGTTCATATTCAAGAATCTTGAATTTGAAAAATGCCATGTGGAACTCGGGCTTTAAGAGATGCAAATTGCTTCGTGTCAACTGGGTATGGTTGGTGATTTGCGAAAGTTGGCTCCCGGGCGAGGCGAACGACATGTAATTTATCATGCGATAAAGCCAACAGCTCGTCCGAGACTTTCTTCCACTACCAACCCCTCCGAACGATTTCAATGTTGACTTTCGCGAAACCTTCATTCGCCAAGGATTTGTGGCCTGCCGCTCAGCTTTTGCGCCGAACGGGCCACGTCATCAGAACATCATCCAAATCATGCCACGAGGGAAATCCGTTCCCAAATGTCAGCCACTTGCTACACCTCATCCCCGCCACAAACAAATAGAAGCCTAAATCTGCGATTCCCACCAGCCCCTCTTGGTTCTAGAAGATAGGGCGTCTCACGAAGGCAAAGGTATTTCTAGTGGCTCCTGGAACTTAGCACCAACGTTGTAACTTCTCCACCTCAGTAGCTGTATCCGCAGCGTCACCGCCCGGGTATCGTAGCCGATTCGTTCTCTTACATTTTAAGCTCCTGCTCCTGCGCATTCTTATTGTCTGTGCGTCCAACCATGGCAGCCTGCGCGTCGTCCCTCGCGTCCTCCACCGCATTTCAAGGCGTCTCCGTGCCGCGAGCCGTTCCTCTCGCCGGAGAAGGCGGCTTCCCCCACTCCGTCCTTCGACGCGCAGAGTCTCTCCCCGCACGGGGGTACCGAGCGGTGAGCGTCCGCGCGGCGTCGCGCGCGGAAGGAAGCGAGGGCAGCGCGGCGCAAAATGGCGCGCGCGGGGCGGCGGAACATCCTCTCCACGCGAAGCTCCTCTCCCGCCGCAGGCTCTTCGCCCTCGCGGGGCCTTTCGCGCTCGCGCTCGCCGGTTTTCCGCGGATCGCCCGCGCGGAGGGAGAAGGTGCTGACGTGGCAGTGCTGGAAGCTCCTGCTGATGTGGCTGTGCTGGATGCGCCTGCTGACGTCATTGCGGAAGCTGCGCCGGCTGCTGAGCCCGCCATTGTGGAGCCAACGCTGACGTCAGACGTAGCTGTCGCGGCAGAAGCGACAAACGCGAATGCTGCGGTAAGGACACCGGCGCGTGAGGAATAAAAAGAGAGAGGCAGTCGTGCGGAAGGTAGGGCGGGAAATGACACTTGGCACCAGCAATTGCCTAGCAATCCCACGTCTCACTTCGCGTCTCGGTATCCAATCTCGCTGTTGCGCTCCGTTATTTTATCAAACTGAACAGCCAGCGCGCCGTACAAAAGTCTCGTTTTAAGACGTCTCAACACCTCTTCTTCACTGTTGCGCTCCGCTCTTGCTTCAGATTGAACCGTCTCAGCCTCAACCTGAGCCTCAGCAGCGGGAGGAGAAGGAGCAGGAGGGGCAGCAGCAGGAGCAGGCGGAGGCGCAGCAGCAGCAGGCGTTAGGTGGCGCGTGGCTGGGCGCGGCGCTGCTGGGCGCGGCGCCAGCTGGCGCGCTGGGATTCGTGCTGCGAGGGGAGCGGGCGCAGCGGGAGGTGGTGGAGGGTGACCTGGCGAAGGTACGAGTGGACCTTCAGATATAGCTCTTAGCAAGAAAAAGAAAAGAAGAGAATGAAAGAAGAAAAAAAAATGGTCCACTATTTTTAAACGAATATACAAATGGCACCGTACCACCATCACCATCCGCTCATCCACGTTCCGCCCATCCACCTTCCGCCCATCCACCTTCCTCCCATCCACCTTCCGCCCATCCACCTTCCGCTCATCCACCTTCCACCTTCCGCCCATCCACCTTCCACCTTCCGCCCATCCACCTTCCGCCCATCTAATTCCTGCAGGCGCAGGGAGCAGTGAGGAGGCGGAAGGGGGTTGTGCAGCATTAACCCATTACCCTTTCGCCTCTATTTTCCTCTCCTACTCTCCCCCTCGCACTCTGCTTCTCTCCCCCTTTCGCCTCCTTCCCCCGCTCCCCTTCCCCATCCCCCCTCCCCCCTCCTCTCTCCCCCACGCGCAGGCGCGGGCAGCACTAGCAGCAGCGGAGCGAGCAGTGAAGGAGGGGGAAGGGGAGAAGGCGAAAGCAGCAGCGGCGGCGGCGGCGGCGGCAGCAGCAGAGGCGCGCGTGGGGGAGGCGGAGAGGGCGCGGAGGGAGACGGAGGGGAGGCTGGGGGAGGAGGCGGAGAGAGCCAAGCGGGCGGAGGAGAAGGGTGAGTGCGTGTGATGATGGCAATGAGAGTGACTGAGCGAAATCACAATGTATGGGCGGGTGGGTGGGTGGGTGGGTGGGTGGGTGGGTGGGTGGGTGGGTGGGTGGGTGGGAGGGAGGGTGGGTGGGTGGGGGTGAGCGGAGGCAATGAGAATGGCAGCGACACAGGCTGAAGCGGAGACAGCAGCACGCATTTCCTCTACCTTCCCCCGTTCCCCTTTCACCCCTCCCACCCATACTCCCCCCACTCCCTACAAAACCACCTTCCCCCATTCACCACCCTCCTCTACCCCCTCCCACCTAACAGCTGGTCAGCTATCCACGCAGCTCTCCCAGCGGCAGCAGCAGCACAGGCCGAGCCAAGGCAGAGACAGCACAAGGAGCGGCATGCATTATATGGTGCTTCATTGAACTCAAACTCTTCTCCGCCTTCCCCTTCCCCCTTTATGCGCCTCCCCCGCTCCCCACTTTCCCTCCTTTCCCCTCCACTTCCCTCCCCCTTCCCCCCTCTTCCCTCCCCTCCCCCCCCTTTTTCCCTGTTCCGGTCCCCATAACAGCGGGTCAGCTGTCCACGCAGCTCTCTCAGCGGCAGCAGCAGCTGGCAGCAGCACAGGCCGAGGCAGAGGCAGCAGCAGGAGCCGCCTCCGCAGCCAAGAAGGTCGCTGCCGACCTTGCTGCCGACCTGGAAGCTTCCATGAAGGAGCGGGAGGCGCAGCAGCAAGAGCTGGTGAGTGGGCGGGTGAAGCTGCAGCAGAAGATTGGAGAGGCGGTTACCGCAAAGGGTGAGGTGGCAAGGTTACAAGGAAGGGTGAGGGAGCTGGAGCAGCGTGGGAAGGATGCGGCTGCTGAGCTGGATGCCAAGTCAGCGCAGCTGAAGGAGAGTGCTGACATGGAGGCCCGGCTGCGTGCTGAGCTGGCAGATGCTCAAAGTGCACTGGCGAAGGTTGAGAGTGACGTGGCAGCCCTGCAGTCTGAGCTGGCAGGAGAGAAGAGCACGGTGCAGAAAAAAGAGGAGGAAATTCAATCTCTGCATGCTGACGTGGAATCTACCAATGCCAGCCTGGCAGCCGCCCACGAGTCCCTCGAGTCGCTCCGAAACGATCTGGCCTCTGCTAGGGAGGAAGTTTCCCAGAAGCAGCAGGCTGTAACCCAGCTGGAGCTCGACGCTGAGACCCTCAAAGGCGCCGTTCGGGCAGCTGAACGGGCAGCCGAAGAAGCCCGCAGCCAGCTTGCCGCCGCCCAGAAATCCCTCGCGGATGTCCAGCAGCTAGCGGACGAGGCGGAGGCCGGAAAGCGGGCGGCGGAAGACGCACTGGAGCGGGAGCAGCGGGCAGCAAGCGCCGCCGTCCAGGAGCTGCAGATGCATTTGGCAGCATTAGGGCGGGAGAGGGAGGTGGTTGGGCGGCTGAAGAAGGGCGTAGAGGAGGCGGGCAGGGTGGTGGACGCGCTTCAGGGGGAGACTGACGCGCTCAGGGCGGAGCTGGGGGAGGTGCAGAGGCGGGAGAGGGAGGGGGAGGAGGCTCGGCAGGGACTGGAGGTGCGTGTGGGGTGATGATATGGGGGTGGGTTGGAGTGTGTAGGTGGGGTTGATATTGGGGGGGTGGAGTGGGGTGTGTGGGGAAAGGGTCAGGGGTGGTATGTGCTTGTGTGAGGTGATGGGCGCACCACTGCACTTCCTCTTTCCCTCCACTCTTTCTTCACTTCCCTACATTATCCCCCCTCTCTCTCTCTCTCTCTTCCAACCCCCTTCCCTCCCCTTCCCCCCACCAAAACCTCTCTCCTCTGTTCGTATCTCTTCTCTCTCTCACATCCCTAATCCTCTTTCGTTCCAGAAAGCATTTCCTGCTTCTCAGCTCAGCTGGCGCTCCCCCTCTTTCCCTTGACTTTCCCTGCTTTTACAACCTCTCCTCCTTGCCTCCTCCATCCATTCCCCCCCCCTTTCACAACATTTTCCCCTTCACTCATTCTATCCCTCTCCTTTTCACACCCTTCCGACATCCCTCCATCCCTCCCTCCATCCCTCCCTCCCTCCCTCCCTCCCTCCATCCATCCATCCCTCCATCCATCCCTCCATCCATCCCTCCCTCCATCCATCCCTCCCTCCATCCCTTCACCCATCTCTCCCTCCATCCCTGCAGTCCCAGCTCTCATCGCTCTCCGCTGAGCTGGCGGCCGCACGGGACGAGGCTGCCAGGCTGGCGGCGGAGAAGGAGGCTGCTGACGTCAGCCGGGCGTCAGCGGAGCAGAAGGCGCAGGAGGTGCAGCAGCAGCTGGACAGCACGTTTGATGAGGTTTCACGGCTCAAGGGGCAGGTGTGTTGCTTGGGTATGGGTGGGGTGAAATGGGGAGGTAAGGGACAGGTCAGTGGGTTGGGGCGCAAGGGGTGCAGTGTAGCAGCAGCAGCAGCTGGACAGCACGTTTGATGAAGTTTCGAGGCTCAAGGGACAGGTGCGTGGCCTGGGTATGGGTGGGGTGAAATGGGGCGCAAGGGGGGAGGGAGGTGCAGCAGCAGCTGGACAGCACTTTTGATGAGGTCTCCTGTCTCAAGGGACAGGTGCGTGAACGTGGGGAAATGCCATCTGTCAGTCGACTGCAAAGGGCATGTCAGTGGCTTGGGCTTGGGAGGTGCAGCAGCAGCTGGGCAGCGCAGCACATTTGATGAGGTTCCAAGACAGGCTCAAGGGACACCTTCATGGCCTGGGGTTTTCATGGGAAGATGCAGATCCGTAATTGCATTTCTGTCACATTGACTCTCTTAGTCACAAGATATGAATTAGGAAGGATATTGATCATAAGTGTGTCCGTACACGCGTCTCCTCCCTGCTTGCCTTTCCACGGCACCCTGCATCCCTCTCCTCGGCCCTCCCACCCATCCCCCACTCCAGGTGACACAGATGACCCGTGAGCTAGACGCCATGCTGGTGGAGGGGAGGCTCATTCCCCTGCCGTTCCCTGCTCCCCTGCTTCCCCTCTGCCGCCCCTCCCTTGTTCTCCTGCTCAGTGTGCCCTCTCCCGCTCCCTGCCCCCTCCCCCACTCCAGGTGACTCAGATGACTCGCGAGTTGGAAGCCGGTGAGAAGAAGTTTGAGGCGATGCTGGAGGTGAGGGCAGAGGCAGCCATGCTGGTGGAGGCCTTGGAGGACCAGGCTTATGCCGAGGCCAAGGAGAACAAGAAGCTCAAGAAGAGAGTGAGTGATGATACGGGTGCATAGTGATATGTATGAAAGGGAGAGGTGAGGGCAGAGGCAGCCATGCTGGTGGAGGCTCTGGAGGACCAGGCATATGCTGAAGCCAAGGAGAACAAGAAGCTCAAGAAGAGAGTGAGTGGATTGTTGGGAAATCAGTGAATGGGGTAGTACTGTTGGTAAGCAGTGACGTGTGTAGTTAGTTGTGCTGGAGGAGGCACTGGAAGACCAGGCATTCGCAGAGTCCAAGGAGGACAAAAAACTTCAAGAAGCGGGTGAGTTGTAGTATACCTTGTCTGTGACTGTGGGCCTGCGTGTGATCCTAACATCTTGCCCCCTGTTGGAATTTCCCTGTTGCAACCTCCCTGTCGCCTGTCAGAATGCTGAGCTGGAGGAGTCGAGCAAGGCGGCAGCAGCGGTGGCGGAGGAGCTGGAGACGGTGCGGGCTCAGCTGAACGCGGTACAGCAGGGCCGCATGGTGGGGTCTAAGAGCGAACAGGGGGATGCGCAGGCCTGAGTGGCAAGTGGGATACGGTATTTGGTTCTTCAAAAATTAGTCAACAATCCTCATATGTAGGATAGATTTGAGGTAAAATACACTTGCAATAGAGTCTTTTCTCTGACATAACAAGTTAGTGACGGCTTTTGTGGCCAAGCTCTGTTGCAGTTGTGCCTCAATCTATATTTGCATGTAAACATTGGACTTGCAAAAAATGGAAATAAGCTGAATATATCAGCCTTTCAGGCTTTTTATTTTCTCTTTTGGAGGATGGAGTACATTATCACATGCACATATCCACAGTCATACACTAATATTTAGCTTTTCAAGCTTCAGCTCTACACTCAGTGACGCGTCACGATTGCTATCGCGGACGCTGATAGCCGCCTCGTTCAGGTTTGTGAAGGGGGATTTTCGCCGCCTTCTTTCCAAGAGGGTCCCTGCTGGTTTATTCATGTTTCTTCTGGTCTGGACGCCCTCGCAACAAGTAAAGGCTTCTGGAACTCCAGTGGAAAACGCGAACGCTGTAGGAAACTGTTTCGATTGACAGCAATTTGTTGAGAGAGTTAGCGACAGAATGGCTTTGACTGGAATCAAGGCTGTGAAGAATCCTGTCCGTGTTGTTCTGCAACGGATTGCACAATTGATGTTCGTCGTGATTGGAGTGAGCATCTGGCTTTCCTCTACCCCGTAGTCGAATTCCGCCGTAATGAGTCATGGTTGTGACCACGCTTTTCAGATTTCAGGAATTCTTATGATCGCAATGATCCTCGCTTTCCAACAAAAGCCGAATTTCGCTCCTGGATGGTATGCATTTTGAACTTGGAGAATGGATCTACCACCCTCCGCAGAATGACAAACCTTCCAAATTGCAGGTGTATTATCATCCTCGGTGTCTTGACTGTTGGAGCTTCTGTTTTGGGATTCGCGGGCTTCCTTAACTCTGGTTGCTTCATCTGTCACTCAGCGATTCTATCTTTGGCAGCAGTCGGCTGTGGTGCATTCACCTTGGCATTGTTTGTTTCTGTAAGTTCGACACAGCGACCATTTATGAAGTCTGGAAACCTAATGTGTGATTTTTTTGGCAGAAGCCGGCCATTGCAAGGACCATCAACTCACGTCAGTGGAACGACGACAAGGTAAACTACATTTCGATGCAGAAAAAGATTGGCCCACTCCTTAATGCCATATATGTTCACAGGTTTGGGATTTCTTAACCAAGATCCAGTGGGTCTTCTTATCGGTCTTTATTTTGGAGGTGAGTCCCCTTGGCGTACAAAGGTCATTGTTAATAGGTCGCTACGGTATCATGCTGTGTTCCGAATGTTGACATGTTGACGACACTCTTTGAAAATGGTGTGCAGGTGTTGGCCCTCGTAGTCTCAGCAGTTACACACGCATGCATTCCCGTGGAAATCTATGAGGTAGGAGCAAGGCATGAGTACTACCGTACGTAATGTTGTAGCATGTCCCCCCTGTCTGGCCAGCTTCACCCAATCTGCTTATACAGAGCCTTGAGGAGCAACAGCGACAACGGGACGCAGAAATGCATAAGCTGAAGAAGACAGTGTAAGCCTCTTCCATTTCCACAAAGAAACTATTGGTGTTTAAGTTTGCACCTAACATTTAACCCATCGGTATGTATTCCAGGGAGCAGCAGAAAACGAGAACGGAGAACACGACGGCGGCATCGCTTGCAAACAAGATGCGGTCAAAATATGGAAAGTGAGTTTCAAACAAACCAGCCAGTTGCTGCTTTGCACTATGCATGTGTCACTGAGTCTGAAAATCACAGGTGGACAGATGAAGACTTTGGTGAAGGCAGATCTATCTGGTAGCTCTAAAGCCACATTATGCTATGGTGTCATCAGGCTTAGCATGTTTCTTGGATCCTGCACAATGACTTTGTTGATACCCTATTGCTTCGAGTGACAGCCAGAAAGTTTAGTGCCGTACAATACAAGATGTTTACTATCTACCGTTGAAAGGGGACCTACAAAGCCAATCCTACCGTAACTCATACGGTAGTTCTAGGCAAAATCAAATCAAGTTTGTCTTGTACCTGCCCCAATTATTATGTAATCTGCCAGCTATTATTTTGATCCATTTGGTGTCAATAGCTTCCATGCTGCCGACATGAGGGACCTCCTCTGGGACCTCTTGGGCAATGCTGATGCATCTTGGTCTGGTGGCGGAGCTGACTCTGATAGGGGTAAGGGGACTACAGCAGCCAGAGAGCGAATACTCTCATGGCCAAGTGGGCTAAGCCGATAAAGGTTGGATGTGGCATTGAGGGGGTTTGATGGAGCTGCAGAGCTGCATGCCTCCAGCAGCTGTGTTGTGCTATCAGCCATGTTGTGAGCTGTGCGGTTGGCTTCCTCCAAGGCGCTCCTTATGTGAGGGTCACGGTCAAAGTTGAACCGGAGCATTAGTGACGATAGCAGGGAGTGGATGCTCGAGGCGTACGCTTGATGCTGTTGTGTTGAGGAAGGGGTGGAAGGCAAGTTGTTGAAGTCGTGAATGGAATTCATCTAGCTGATAAAATTTGAAAAACGCTTTCAACAAGGAACTGCATACGGAGTCATCAAATGGACAGGTGATGAGGATAAAAATAAACAATCACCTGGACAGCTTCAAGCCTTCGTTGCGACTGAAGCTTTGCCAGTTTTTCTGCCAGAGACGCCTTCTCAAGTGCCTCCTGGATAATCAAACAAATCATAGGTCATGAGTCAGCGTTCCTTTGATACCACGAGATAAGTGGGAACACGAGATAACAGGCCTTGAAGATGCAAGCATGCAAACACCTCAGTGTTCAGCTTACCCGATGCAGCTGCTGTTGCATGAGATGCACGGTCGACTGAAGCGTCTTTACCGACCCCTGCAAGGGATAACGAGGAGTACGGAGGGGTACAGTTAGGCAACGTACAAATCGTGAACGCAGTACACGTAACAACATCAAGCACGGTACCGAAACGCTGGAAACCACAAAATTTCCCACAGAGACCCATCACGAAACGGAAAATCGACCATTCACCAGGGCGTGCGATAGCAGCATCGTATCCAGGCTCGTGTGCTGCAGCGCCTCGCGGAACTGCTCCTGCTCCCGCACCGCGTCCGCCATCTCCAGCACCATGCGCTCCACCGCGCTCGCCAGCTGCCCGCGCTCCGCTTCCACCTTCGCCAGCCGCAGCTTCGTCTGCTCCAGCTCCTTCGCCAGTTCCGATTCCGCGGATTCCGCCCCCGCCTGCGCCGCGCCCGCGCTGAGCCTGCGCGCTCCCGCCAGCTCGCTCCGCGCCTGCTGGAGGGCATCGTGCAAGCGCTCCACCTCCTCGCTCAGGCGCTCGCACTCCTTCTCCCACACTTCCGCCTGCGCCTTATCCTTCCGCCACTCCCTCTCCTTCTCCGCCTCCCGCTTCTGCTCCTGCTCCCTCTCCTCCTCCAGCTCCTTCTGTCGCTCCAGTTGCCTCATTCTCTCTCGCTCCTGCTCCCTCCGCCGCTCCACCTCCCGTCGCATCTCCTTCCCCCTCTCCTCTGCCCGCTCCTTCTCCCTCTCCCGCTGCTCAGCCCGTTCCATCTCCCTCGCCCGCTCCCTCTCCTTCCTCTCCGCCCGATCGCTCTCCCGTTTCGCAGATTTGGCTGTTTCTAGCAGCCGTCGCCTTTCCCCGCTCTCCGTCGGTTTCCCATGCGACCATTCCCTCCGCGCCTCCGCCTGAAGGGGACTCTGCTCCCGCCGACCGATCTCAACCGCGCGCTTTTCCTCGATACGCCGCTTCTCCCCAGCAACAACCGTCCCCACCTTCCCCATCTCCCGCGCGAGCTGCCTCTTCCGCTCCTCCCGCAGAAAGTCCCGCTTCGCCTCCCATTCCCGCGCCTTTGCCCGGTCGTCCTCCCCCCGATCCCGGCGCAAAGCTTCCGCTCCTTCCATTACCTCTCCGCTCCGCAATTCTCTGCGGTATTCCATCTCCCACTTGCTCTCTCTCTCCTTCTCTAGAGCGAGCGCTATCAGCGCGCTTGCGCCGCCCTCCCACTCCGCCGGTTCCCCATTCGCGATCTCTGCGCGACGGGGGCCGCGCTCCGCCGACTGCGGACGGCCTTCCGCGGAGCGCCGGAACGACCCCTCTCCGGAACCCGCACGCTGGACACGCTCCGCGGAGTGCGCGCGGCTCCGCCGCGGTAACGCTCGCTCCACGCTCGCCCCGCTTTTGCCGGCTCGGTCTGCCGTAGCGAGCGACTCGCCTAGCTTGCTGATCGCAGTCGCTGAGTCGCGCGGCGGCGACGGCGGCGATCCGAATACAGCTGCGCGATCTACGGCGCGATCTTTCTCGTTCTTCGCGCCGGCGACGCTCTTCGCCGCGACCGCGGCGTTCCTCGCTGCGAGCTCTAGCAGCGCGTCGCGCTCCTCCACAACGAGCTTGAGGCACTTCTCGAGGCTCCGCTTCTCCTCGCGCACTATCTCCAGCTCGCCAACTGCCGTCCTGCTAATCCCCCCTAGCTCGCCAACTGCCGTCCTGCCACTAATTTCCCCTAGCTTAGCGACTATTGCCCTGCCTGTTCCCCCTGGCTCGTCGACCTTAGTCTGCAAGCGATTGGGCTGCTTCTGCTGGTGTTGCTGCTTCGCGCGCGTCTCTATCACGTGATTCCCCGTCCGCATATTCCCGCGGCGCTCTTTAGCGCGGATAAGCGCCGGGGCTAACAGCTAAGAAGCCGATATACGGCAGAGCAGTCATCGAGTGACGCATGAGCTTTAAACTTCTACTATGCCATGTTCCTATACGAATAATCTACTGATGAGCAACTATACCTCGACAGCCGCAAAGCGGCTGTTAGACATGGCATATCTGGTCGGGCTCTAGCTCTACCACTGGTGCCTAAACATCTACTGTGTGAATTGCCGCTTTTGCGCTGTGACTGCCTGCCAAGCCATTCAATCAAACATTCTGGTCGAGAAAGAGTGCGAGCGGCATGTAATTATCTAAGCCGCGTGAACCTTATCGTGACTTCTAACCGACAAACGTTAATCCAGGTGATCGTCGCCTGTCCGTCCTCTTCTGGTCTCCCGACTGGGACCACCGCTGTGGCAAGGTAAAGTAACCACCATGTGTAGTGTTTGCGCGAGGCGGTGGGTGGGTGGCATGGTGTAACCCTCAGTATAACCACACGTAACGCAGGAGAAAACTTATTTGTACTTGCTCGCACTTCGGTACTGTGCCATCCAGCAGAGCTTTTTTCAGGGTCAAAGCGAAAGCCTTCCTCCTTCGCCGCAGTCCACGGAAACAACACGACCACTACGTACCTACACACTGGTGCCAATTCCGTACCGCAAAGCAAGTTTCCCATGATTCGATGGGTGGAGGCTCAAGGCAGAAAAGGCAAGTGGCAAATCACCAGTGACAAAGGAGGAAGAAATGCCAAGCCTGGCGTGGAGTTTTACTGTACGTTGGAAAAATGTGATTCGACACAATGCGCGACGCGAGCTTAGGTCTGGGGCACTTGCGGGGATCCATGCCGGTCTTGGGCGGCACACCAGAGTAGAAGCGACGCGAGGCTGCTTGATTTGGGGGAGGCGTACCGAAAAGGACCAAGAGGGGCCCCAACCCAACACCAACAGCAGGCTGTTCCAATCACGGACGGACCGCCATTGGTTTGGAAGCACCCATATCGAGCGTGATTTTACGCCAATTCATGTCAGTGCGTGTTTCGTGCAAACGCCAAAGGACCAAGAGGTTGCATCGCATATTCACTCACACTGATGAGCACTACATGTTCATCTTTTTAACTCCATAGACGTACTCTGAAAAAACACAAACATTGTTACAGGGTGGTTTACAGTTCATCCTGAACTGTTCATCTTCCAAGATTCCCAAGTGCCACGTGGCACTCTCATTTCTTTGCCTTACATTTCCTAGTCCCACACAGTACTTTCCGACATTCAACCTTGCATGCTATATCAACCTTGCTTGTATCCACCAATATCAACCAATTCTCATTCAACTCTTCTTCAATTACTCAGTTACTTCTTCGCCTATTTCGCCAACACTCTCTTTCGCCAAAGTCTTCCGCCGCGTTTATCCTCGACTTAGTCGACCCCGCTAATTCCTTAGCGGACTTAGGCCAGCGGGCCTAACACTTGGTATCAGAGCCTTCGCGGGGAGCGACTTCCAACGAGCGGCCGTCGACGACGAGACTACGACGTCATCGTCCCGCGGTGCCGACTTGCAGACTTGGAGTCGTCGAGCGAACATGGACGAATCCATGAACGCTTTCCCCCACGACATGGGCAACACATTTGCCGAGCTCATGCGTCAACTTGAAGAATTGACGTTGGAAAATCGTCAGGTACGAGCCGAAATGCAACAGCTTCGCAATTTGGCTTCTAACCCCCATGGCCTTGCCGCACCAACTCCTGCACCCACCACGTCGACTGGCGCGGAAGCGCTGCCGGAACGTCGAAGCGCACTCAAGCCGCAGAAGCCCGAGTCGTTCGACCCAAGTCAACGCGACGCGAACGTGCGGACGTGGCTCTTCATGCTCAACAATTACTTCGCCGCGAGCGGGGTGCAAGAGGCGGACGCGCAGCAGCGGATCGAGTACGCCGTAACGCTGCTGAGGGGCCCGGCCTTGGAGTGGTGGCGCCAACTTACGCAGACTGCTGTACGGAGGGCTCAGTTAGACGGGCATCAACAGGGCGTGGGGCATGCAGCTGCAACTTCGAGCTTAGGGAGTCTAGCTTTGGGTGTTACCACGGTTCCGACCACATGGGAAGGATTTGAAGCGGCGCTGAAAAGTAGGTTCGATTTGGTGAACGCCTCCGAAGCTGCTAGGAAGCGTCTGCGTCATTTCCGACAGATAGGAAACGTCCAGGACTATACACGACGGTTCTTGAGCAACGAGATAGACGACATCACGGAAGCAGAGATGCGCGATCGCTACCTCGAAGGGTTGAAGCCGGACATAGCGGAGATTATTGCGATTCACGGGTTGTCCACCTTCGAGTTAGTAGTTGCAGCAGCAGAACGCGTCGACGCAGTACGAAGCCGACGGGGTCGTGACGATCGCGATAGGGGATACAACAGACCGATCAACGATGCTCGATCGAGGGACGGACCATCGCCCATGGAGATTGGTGCAGTTAACAGTGACGGCTCACAGCGTAACGGTTTTAGGGGGAACTGTCACTACTGCAAAAAGTCAGGTCACATAAAGCGGGACTGCCTACAGTTCAAGGAGCGGCAGCAGGGAAACGGAAACCGCCAGTAGATAGCGGGTCGCTAGCTGGCGTGGAGGTTCCCGTACCCGCCACGTCTACCAACGTAGAGGAGACGGCCTCGCAGCAGTCATCTACGGAGAACGAGGTAGACACTGTTGACCGACCAGTCGTGCTTCTAGGGAAGCTTCGCGGAGTTCCTGTTAAGATTCTCGTCGATAGCGGAGCTAGCCACTCGTTCGTTTCGTCTTCATTAGTTAGCCGTCTCCATCTTGAAGCAGATTCCTCAGTCAACTTCAAGGACGCTCGCATGATAGATGGGACGCCTCTCCACATAGGACCAGTCATTCGCAAGTTGCGCGTAGTGCTAGGACCGATCACGGTTAGACGTGACTTCGAGTCTGCGATGCTAGACGGATACGATTTCATCTTCGGGAGAGATTGGCTACGGACGGTTAGTACTCAGTTCGATTGGGCTCAGGGAAGCTGCAGTGTCAAGGTAGACGGGGAGTTCCGGGAGCTGCCACAGTGGAGCGATGGGGCCACATCATCCACAGCGATCATCAATACGGTTCGTGTGCGACAGCTGGTGAAACAAGTGGCACGGGTCTTCGCGGTTTTCCTTGAGGAGGTGGAAGCTGAGGAGGGGAAAGGAGGGAGCGCAGCAGTTAGTGAGAAGGCGACTCTTCCTGCTGAGGTGAGTGCACTGTTAGCAGAGTTCGCAGACGTCTTCCCCGACGAGTTGCCCCCAGGGTTACCTCCTAGCCGAGCAGTCGACCATCGAATAGAGTTGGAGCCGGGGAGCAGGCCAGTAGCGAAGCCGCAGTGGAGATGACGCAGCAGGTTAGGCACTTTCTCGCACAGGGGTTCATACAGCCATCTAGATCGCCTTGGGCCGCACCGATCCTTTTCGCACCCAAGAAAGACGGAGGGTTACGGATGTGCATAGATTACCGCGCACTGAACGCCGCCACCGTCAAGAATCGATTCCCGGTGCCGAGAGTAGAGGATCTTCTAGATGCAGTGCAGGGCGCTAGAGTCTTCTCCAAGATCGATCTTCATTCGGGTTACCATCACATCCGCGTTGTTCTAGAGGACCAACACAAGACGGCGTTTCGTACGAAGCAGGGGTTGTACGAGTTTAGGGTTCTACCGTTCGGACTGACCAACGCCCCAGCGACGTTCCAGACGCTTATGAACACCGTCCTCTCCGAGTTCCTAGGTTCGTTCGTTGTCGTTTACCTAGACGACATCTTGATCTTCTCCAAGTCGAAAGAGGAGCACGTGCAGCACTTGCAGAGGGTCTTTGAGGTCTTGCGGAGGGAGAAGCTGTACGCGAAGCAGTCGAAGTGCGAGTTCTTTCTCCCCGAGGTCGAGTTCCTAGGACACGTCGTATCCGCTAGTGGCGTTAGGACCGACCCGAAGAAGATCGCAGCGGTACAGGATTGGGTAGCACCGACCTCAGTCAAGGAGTTGCAGAGCTTTCTCGGATTCGCGAATTACTACCGCCGTTTCGTTCAAGGTTACGCTTCCATCGCTAGTCCACTCACCGACCTACTTCGGAAAGGCGTAGAGTACGTTTGGGGTCCAGCGCAGCAGCAGGCGTTCGAGCAGATGAAGCAGTCGCTCACGTCTTCACCGACACTGTCGTACCCCGATCCTACTCTCCCGTCCGGCGTAGTGACCGACGCATCAGATCAAGCCATTGGAGCAGTGCTTCTTCAGGACCAGAGAAGCGGGTTGCAACCGATCGCGTACGAGTCACGTAAGCTGAGGGGAGCGAAGTTGAACTATCCCATACACGACAAGGAGGCGCTCGCGATCATCCATGCGTATAAGGTATGGAGGTGCTACCTAGAGGGGGCAGATAGTGTTATACGCACGGACCATTGCTCGCTTTGTTTTCTCAAGTTGCAACCGCAGCTGAGTCGTCGCCAGGCTAGATGGATGGAGTTCATGGAGGGGAGTTTCCACTACAGGATAGAGTACAAGCCAGGCGTTCGCAACCCAGCAGATCTGCTCATTCGCCCTAGTTGTCAGCTCGCTAGTCTCACAGTCACTGCCGGCCATCCACTTCTCACAGCACTCTTCGAGCACGGTTACACAGTAGATCCCGACTTAACATCGCAGCCGCCCGCAGGAGCAGAGGTGCAGGGTAGTGTTTACATACGGAAGGGCACCACACGGATTTGGGTTCCAGCCTACCGCCCTCTTCGACAGCTCCTTCTCTCAGAGGCGCACGACGTAGTTAGTGCAGGTCACTTCGGAGCAGACAAGACGGCTAAGACGCTTAGTCGCACGTACTACTGGCCAGGGCTTGCAGCAGACGTAGAGGATTACATTCGCTCGTGTGACACGTGTCAGCGTACGAAGTCCTCGCGACAGCGCAAGGCAGGACTTTTGCAGCCGATTCCACCGCCCGACCGCCCTTGGCAGGTAGTTACCAT